CTAGGTTGGATATTAGGAAAAATGATGTCACTAGCGAGATTTGGGCTTCTTTAGTCTACCGAAGAGAAGAAGGAGGGAGGGGGAGTTGATAGCAGCCTTCAACTTCCTGAAGGGAGGTTCCAAAAAGGATGGAGAGAGGCTATTCTCAGTATTGGATGTCAGAACAAGGAGCAATGATCTCAAATTAGAGTGGGGGGAGGTCTAGGTTGGATATTAGGAAAAATGATGTCACTAGCGGGGTGGTGAAGTACTGGAATTGGTTACCTAGGGAGGTGGTGAAATCACCATCCCTAGAGGTTAACTCCCAGTTTGACAAAGCCCTGGCTGGGTTGATTTAGTTGGGATTGGTCCTGCTTTGGGCAGGAGGCTGGACTCGATGACCTCCTGAGGTCTCTACCAGCCCTATGATTCTATGATTCTATGTGGTGGCGGCTTGCTGTGTGCTCCACAACTTTTTGTGAGAGCAAGGGGGATACTTCTGCCAGGGTGTGGGGACTGAGGCTGAATGGCTGCCCAGGGCATTCGAGTAACCGGACACCAACACCATCAGGAGAGCACATCAAAGGGCCGTTCTCAACAGGGGGGCCTTGAGGGAGAGTTTTGTCCAAGGCCGGCTGTGAGACTCTCCCCTGCCCCTCTTCATAAAGAGCCCCTGCATTCCCCATGTGTGGCTTTCTTCCCCCACCTCTCCCTTGCCCTGCCCTCCCTTCCCATCTTCCATCCCACCCCATGCACAGCAAATAATAAAGCCTTCTCTTTGAAATAACAGGACTTTTTAATGGGGTGGGGTGGGGGTATACAACAGGGGAGGGACTGGGGAAAGAACCTGGAATGGGGAAGGGGATGAGAGAGGAGGGGGGCTCAGGGATGGGGCTGGGAGTGGCATTTGCCTCCACTTGGTCAGGAGGCTTCAGCTGCCTGAGAGATCCCATTGCTAAATGTTCTGGGGCCCCAGTGGCCTCTGAGGGGACTAGCTATGGGTGGGGCGGGGAGGTTGCTAGTGGCCCATTTCATGCACAAGGTGAGGGAGGAATACATAGCCTCATGCTGGTGTGCCAGCTAGTCCCAGGTGGCCTCTGTTCCTGGTCAGCTCAGCGCTCCTTCCAGTCAAAGGCCTGTTCCTGGCACTCCTCCTTAAGCTCCTGGATGAGGGACTGCAGGCAGCGCATCTGCTCCTTCATCAGGTCGTTGTGGGTTCTTTTTCACCTGCGGATCCCACGGAGTTGTGCACATGGCATAGGAGGTGGAGGATGCACCACACTCACAGCTGGCCCATCTGAAGAAAAGTGACAAGATCAGTCATCCCAGGGCACTAGTGTATGAAGCCTAGCCCTCATCTCTGAGCCGACACCAAAGATCTCAGTTCAGACAATGGCGATGTGCTTTGAGCAAGGCCACCTGTTGCCTAGACAACGGGAACTTTCATGCAGGACTACGGACATCCCAGAAGAGCATTGCTACACCCACAGCCCAGGGACAAGGAGGCATGGGAAGCGGCAGGAGGAGGGGACGAGGCAGCTCGGCCTCCTACTGTGTCCCCCATATGCCGAGTCCAACACTGGTGGCATCTCAGAGATAGAGAACTTCTATCCTTTCCTTCCGGAGGAGAGGGAGGGGGTGTTGGAGAAGGTGTGTGAGCAGCAGACACCCTTGCCAGAGAGAGCGTTACTGGATTCCCCCTCTCCACTCCCCAGCAGGTTCCCATGCACAGGATCAGTCTCCTCTGCCTGACTGCGCTTGACTGGGAGAGAATGATGCCTGAGTCCAGGCATGAGCCTGTGCTGTGTGCGGCACAGCTGTGTGGTTCCATGATCCCAGATACTTAGTGGTGGCTTGTCACAGAAGGGTGTCCCACCATGGAGGCTGGAATAAGGCAGACCTCTCCAGGAAGGACTGAGGGGTTCCTGTGTGAAAGCGTCATGGGGCTGAGTGCTCCAGACTGGTGTTCTATGTGCACAGGCTGTTGTGCAACCCCCAGGCCAAATAGGCCAAGCAAGGAGCGAGCAGCCCCTCACAGCCCACCACCTCTCCCCTCCGTGTATATAGGGAAAATTGCAGTACTCACCTGAAGTGCTTTCCCCGGTTTTGTCCGAAGCTTGGGAAACATCCTGGGAAGAGGTTGCTAGCTCCAGGGTGAGGAGCAGGTCCTGGCTGGTGGTCATGGTCATCCAGGTGGTTCCCTCAGTGTCGTCCACCACCCCACCATCCTGGAGATAGATACTGGGCATGTCCTACCCAGACTCCATGACGACAGGGCGGGGGAAATGACCGTCCCTCCAGGATGGTATCCAGCTGTTCTTAATTGCCGCAGCTGTGTGGTGCTTCCTCAGAGTGTCTGCTCTGCTCCCTGGGCTTGTAGTAGGCCTGCTGGAGTTCCTTGATCTTCATCTGGACCTGGTCCAGGGTCTAGTTGTGGTCTTTGTCATCCAGGCTGGCTGTGATCCGGTCATGGATATCTGCATTTCTCTTCCTCTTTTGAAAATCCTGGAGGATCCTCACCCCCGATTCAGCTGCTACTGAAACTGACCAGCAGCAACTGAATCAGGGACGCCTGGGGCAGAGCTGGACTATCGTAAGGGGGGGCTATGAGGGGTCTGGGGTGGCATCCCCTCCCACCCCACTCCAGACCCCTCATAGCCCCCCCTTCTGATAGTCTGGCATATCTGATAATCCGGCACCCCCTGGGTCCTAAAGGTGCTGGATTATCAGAAGTTTACTGTATTTTGTCACCAAAAGGCAGGTTTTGGTGACAAAATTTGGTAGTGTAGACAAAGCCCAAGTAATTTTCAGCTCTTTGCAGGCTGGGCAGGAGCACTCTCCTATCTTAAGTGAATTTCAGCTCTCAATGATTTTTAGCTCTTAGCAGGCAGGGTAGAAACACTCCTACCACAGCCTGTTTCAGCTCTAGTTGAGCAATTAAAATAACAAGGAGTCTCCTAATGAAGCCTGTTTAGTTCTCTCTTTGAACAGTGGGGAGGACTAGGTTAAACAAGTCTAGGGAAGACACTGGGGAGGGTTTGCAGCTTCTGGCTGGAGCACCTGTCCCCACCCTGTTACTTTCATGGAGCCTTAGTATTTGAGCCACTGTCTTAATGAGATTCCCTCAATTGAAAGTGGCCCCCATTTGCGATAGGTTAAGCACACTCCTGGCTCCCTGTGTTCCCACAATAATTATAATATTGGTAACCATATTTTACTACCCCTGCACTCATTACTAAGGTGATTTGTACCCAACACAAGCCAAAGTTGATCATTTTGGCACCCCTGTATCGGCTGACTATGTAAGGAGAGAAGAAGCAAAGTGTATTTACATAAACACATCCAAAGTTTCTCCCTCTCCCTGCTAGCTGTCACTGAAGTATTCATTCAGTTCCTGTTTACACCAATAAATAAATACAGTCACAAAGCAATAACTATAGTAACTAGAGATCCAGGGTTTGTTACTACAAGTTGACCCTCTCTAGTCCAGCACCCTCAGGACCTGAGAGGTGCCAAACCAGAAAATTTGTCGAACCACAGGAGGTCAGTATTGTCTAGCAGCATTACCAACACTTCCCCTGCTTACTGGGCTCATAGAAGACATTTAGGGATAAATTAGAGCTAAATAACAGCGCAGAACACTGAGAGCTAGGATTGGAGGCTGTTAACAAACATTATGGGACTGTGGGAAGCTTGGCCACACCCATGATAAGTGGACATCCAGCTAATCGTGCTGTACCACGGATGTTGCAGACTAGAGAGATTCAACTTATAGAACTTGCTGTCCAGCTGAAGCCAGCCAACATGGTTCTGAACACCCCAGATCTAGGTCTGTTTTAAGTATCTTATCAGTGCTTACAAATGAATGTTACTTTATGAGTGTGCTAATCGCTTAAGCATTTAACGCACATTTGGAGTAACTATATAGCCACCATTCAGCCATTTGAATTTAAAAAAGAAATGTATGTTTAAAATCATTGTCATGTTGAAACCGTGTGTGAATACTACTAATAATAATTCCAACAGAAACAGAGACAAAAAGAAAATGAGGCAGTAGCTGTGAACTCAGTGTGACTGGAAAACGCTAGAGTGAGAGATTTGGCGTCTGATGTTGTAAGCTATGAAACTTTCCCTTTTGTGCTTGAATCTTTCTCCATTTGGGAAAGCAGGGCTTTGTGCATTCCTTGTGAATATACAAACTTACATCAAAGAAAATACCAAATTCCATCAATTTCTACTTCCAACTAGGTCCCAATGGCCCTGAGCTTTGACTAGCTATTTGGGGATAATATTTAAAATTAAGGCGATAGCAGAATGTCAGTAATTATTAATTTCATTTCCTCTAAGTTCTTGGATTTTCTAAATGATGTGATCAGCAAGTATTTTCTTGTCACTTAGAAATCTTCATTTTTTAAAATTATGTTTTCTAGGAAAACAGAAATTGCCATACCAGAGATCCAGCATAATTAGTAACTTTTCTCTGGCATCGGCCAATACAGTGCTTCAACCCAAAGGGCAATAAATCTTGTAATGAAATAACCATGTTCATAAAGGAAATTTCTTCCTCGTCCCCTCAGATAGTGATGTACAAAGCCCAGAAGCATGTGGATTTGTGTACCTTGTATCTAATATGATGTAAGTGTGGCTCTTCTCATTATCTTTTAAAATGTCTAATTTTTTTCAATCTCCTAAGTTAAGCTCCGAGTCTTAACGATAACTTGTGTCAGGGAGTTTGACAGATCCATTATAAACTATACAAAAAACTATTTCCTTTCATCAGTTGTAAATTTGTTTCCTGTTAATTTTACTGGCAGTTGCTTTGTTCTTGAAAAAGGTAAATTGCAGTGCCTGCTTTGCCTTCTTTGCAACATTAATCATTTTCGATACCTTTGATATGTCTCCTCCTTAAACTAAAGATCCTGGAGGCCCAGCCTCAGCTCTGGCTTGTTGAGCAAAGATTTAATCTTACCAGTTCTAGGTTATGAACAGCTGAATCAGAAGGTCCCAAGCTCAAGTTCTCTGCCCACCTGCATCTCTGTCACAGGTTATTTAGTTAAATACAGAAGGACACGACAGGTTGGTCAGGTCTAATGAGTAGCTTTATTTAAAATAACACCAATACTAATGAATAGGTACCTATTAGCCCAACAACTAAAACAAAAATAATCCAGTTGTCCAAACACAAAGACAGTAGCTTAAAGGCAGAACCCAAGAATGCCAATAACGTCTGTGTAGGATACAATAGGAAAGGAATAACTCTACTATACTCTCAATGACAGGAGATGAGGTGAGAAGACACTGCAGGAACTGGAGATAGACAATGTGTGGAGGAGGAAAGCTTAGGATGACCGGACACAGGCGTGGACCTTTAGGTCGGACACCCAAGTAAGCAGATTATGTTTTTTCTTTCTTCAGGTCTTCTCTTCTTGGCTTGACCTCATGAGTGGAGATGCAATCAAGTGAGGTAAGTGACAGGTGAACGCACATCTGCTTTGAAGGCTCCAGCAGCTCTGGTCCTTATCCCGTAACCCTGACCGAGGTAGAATTCACACAACACCCGCAGCTGTTATTAGGTGGGGGCCTCTGGGTTGCTCCACCACTAAAAGACTGCACTAGGCACACTCTCTGGCTAGAGGTCTCTGATCTCACAATGGCAGGAAAAAAACAGGCCCCTGCCACTGAGTTGGAAGCATTGACGAAGAGGTCACAACCGAACTGCCACTTCAGCCCGCCCCGGAGTGGTAAGAGCCCTGAGCGATGGGTGAGCACCCCTTCTATGTCCTAGTTGTTATTGGGCAGATCAAGGTCAGGTGGTCTTCCCTTTTCCTGCTCTCCTCAAGACAGGGTTCCAAAGAGGTTAAGAAATAACATCTGAAAAATTACAATGGCCAACACTAAAGCAATAACATCCCCAACAGGCTGCTTTGCAAAGTAATTGTAAAGCTGATGGATTCATTCTCCAGACGATTCCCTTGCTAAGGAGAGTCCTTGAGGACATGTCTACATGATGTATTTATTTTGAAATAAGCTATTTTGGAATAATAACTCCTGAAATAGCTATTTTGAAATAGTGCGCCCACACTACAAATCCTCATTGAACTAGCACAGATCTATACTGAAATAGCGTGTCTACACTGAGTGGAGCCTGAATCGCATTTAAGGCCCCCCAGAAGCACTCTGGGCAGGGCATCAGGACAGCAGTCACTTCCTGGAGCTGCTGCCTGAGGCTATCTGAGGCTCATGCTTAAAGGGGCTAGTCTCTACAACTATGTCTCAGTCTCCTCTCCATTGCCTACCTCCTCGAGGAACAGCAAAGTCATTTCACTGCCTGCTCAGGTTGCCCTTGCGGACACCACAGCACTCCTGCCATGGAGCCAGACCTGCTGCAAAGCACTCACCGGCTCTCAGACATCCTGCTGCACCTCCTGCTGTAGTTACTACAGGCTGCCCACCTGGCACTGCAGGACCAGGACCCATAGCTCACTTCAGGGCACCTCCTCACCTCTCTCCACATAGACTCCTCCCGCCCTTCCCTGCACCAGGACACCAGTTCCAACTGGTGGGACTAGATCATCATGGAGCAGTGGGACAACCAGCAGTGGCTTCAGAACTTCCGCATGTGGAAGGACACCTTCCTGGAGCTATGCAAGTGGCTTGCCCTTCCCTCTGGCAATTGGACACCCACATGCCAGTGTTGTCTTCAAGTCGTCATTGTCAAGTCCAAGTCGAATCTCAAGTCACTTCAGTTCAAGTCTCAATTTGAGTCTCGAGTCCCTAAAGTCACTTTCGAGTCAAGTCCCAGGTCGAGTCTTAAGTCTTAATTTAAAAAAATGTCAAGTCACTTTTATACAAGCCATCAATATCGGCATTTTCAGACAATTTTTTCACCAAGTCGATTTAACAAAATTAGCAAGTCTCAAGTCAAGTCTCAAGTCACAAACAATGAACCCAAGTTGAGTCTCAAGTAGAGTCACCTAAGTGAATTAAGTCAGAATCGAGTTCAAGTCGTGGGTCTCGAGTCAACAACTCTGCCACATGCAACCTGCAATCCTCCTCCAGAAGCAGGTCGCTATCGCACTTTGGAAGCCCTCCACACTGGACAGCTACTGCTCTGTCAGAAACCTGTTCAGCATGGGGAGATCAACCATCAGGGCCATGCTTAAGCAGATATGGCTTTCTTGCTATTGTCCCAAAAGGGTGGTGAAGCACTGGAATGGGGTGCAGTGGGGGTGGACTCTTCTTCCCTGGAGGTTTTGCACTCCTGCCTTCACAAAGCCCTGCCAAGGATGGGGTATGTTGGGGTTGGGCCTGGGGTTGGGCTCTGGCAACCCTGTGATTCTCTGTTTGTATCCTTTGTGACAGACCCAGACCAGCCATCTGTCATTCGCCGGTGGAGGGAATACATTATGGAGCTTGGGTAAACACCTTTCTCTTCCCTGACTAAAAAAAGGCGAAAGCCTAAATCCAGTATAATCAGGCAGGCACCTGGGTCAATTGGAACTTGCTGGAAGCCACAGGCTAATTAAACAACTGCAGCCAAGTAAGGCCTGTGGTGCCACTTTAAAGGGCTTCCCCTGAGGCAAGGAAAGGGAAAGGAAAAGAGTGAAGGATGGGAAGTGCTGTGTGCAGGAGTTGTGTGGGTGTGAGCAGAGGACTGCTGAGCAGGTACCAAAGGAAAGGTGCTGGGAGGGATTGTTTGGGGAAGTGTCCCAGGGAAAATCTGCCAGTAACCCTGCCTGTTGTTGCTGCCTTAGGGTCCCTGGGCTGGAACCCAGAGTAGTGGGTAGCCCCCAGTTCCCCCCATACCTTCCACAACATCTCAACCTCTGCCTTGAGAAGGGAGATCAGGACTCCAGAGGGGATTTTACCCCAAACTTATGAACTAGCCTGTGGTGAGTATGGCTCAGAAGGCTGTGTCTCCTGCTTCTAATAAAGAGAAAGAGGCCGTGTGGAGGGCCACAGTGAGCCTCTGAGGCTAACACTATCCGCCAGTAGCACGAGACCCATGGGGAATAGCTGGAGTTTTGCCACATCTTCTACAGCTGGTGAGGACCATCAACACCATCCTGCTGTGCAGGGCCATCATCCTGGGTGATGTGGACCCCATTGTCACTGGCTTTGCCAGCTTGGGCTTCCCCAACATTGAGAGGCCATTGATTACACCCATATCCCCATCCAGGCCCCCAGCCACTGGGCATCCGATTATATCAACTGGAAGAGGTACTTTTCAATCATGCTGCAGGCCCTTGTTGACTACTGAGGCTGGTTCACCAACATCAACGTTGGGTGGTCGGGGAAAGCGCATGACGCCCACGTCTTCAGGAACTCCAGGCTGTTCCAGAAGATGCATGCCAGCACTCTTTTCCCCAACTGCACCTTCAGGGTTGGGAATGTGGACATGCCAACATGTAACATGGGGGACACAGCTTACCCTTTGTTCCTGTGGCTGATGAAGCCCTAAATTGGACACCCGGACCCCGCAAAGAAATATTTCAACAGCAGGCTGAGCAGGCCCCGCATTGTGATAGAGAGCACCTTCGGCCATTTGAAGGGGAGTTTCCGCTGTCTCTTCATCTGCCTGAACCTCAGCAAATGGAACTTTCCCCCAAGTGGTATCGGCCTGCTGTGTCCTGTACAAGCTTTGTGAAAACAAGAGGGAGAGTTTCCTGCCAGGGTGGGGAGCAGAGGCCGAGTAGTTGGCCTGGGCCTTTGAGCAACCATGCACCGCTGCCATCCAGCAGGCCCATCAAGGGGCTGTGCACATCTGGGAGGCCCTGAGGGAGAGTTTCAAACAAGGCCAGTTGTGACACTCTCCCCTGGGCCTCCCCACATCTGCATTGCTACTCTGTGCCTTTCCTCACTCACCCCTCCCTTCCACCTTCCCCTCTCCTGCAGCTAGAATAAACCAGACTTTTTGTTTTGAAAGCATAAAAAGTTTTTTTTTGGGGGGGGGACTATAACTGGGGAGGGACTGGGGAAAGAACTTGGGAGGGGGGAACAAGGAGGAGGTGGAGCTCAGGGATGGGGCTGGGACTGGTACCTGTTTTGGGTGGTCCCACCGCCTTGTGTGCGGGGCTCTCAGTGGCCACAGGGAGGGTGGTATGAGGAGAAGCCTGGGGGCAAAAGCAGGAGTGGGTGTGGATGTGGAGAGGACTTGGGAAGTAGCAAGTGCAGAGGGGCAGCTGTTAGGCCACTCAGTGGTGGTGACCAGGCAGTCAGTGGTGGCGCTGTACCCCGTGCACATGCTCCAGGCCTCCTGCGACAGCTCCTTCCAGGTGGTGAGGTGCAGCTCCAGGTCAATGTCCAACCTCTGCTCCTGCTGCTCAAGATACTGCTGCAGGGCAAGCAGGCAATGTGATCCCACTCTGGGTCTTCCTGGGGTCGCTGGTGCTTGCAGGTCTCATGGGGTCAGGAGGCTGGGGTGGGAGATATGCCTCATGCCCCACTCACACCTGGTCCAGCCGTGCAGAGCAGTCATCCTAAAAGACACGGTTATGAAGGCTAGCCATCATCTCTGAGCTGACACCGAAAGGTTTCAGGTCAGGCAATGGCGATGTGCTTTGAGCAAGGCCACCTGTGGCCTAGACAGTGGGCACTTTCCTGTAGGGGCACAGATGTCCCAGGGGAGCCTGGCTACCTCCAAACCTTGAGGACAAACAGGCATGAGAAGGTGCCAGCTGAGCCAAGAGCATGCAGGCGGAAGGAGAGGATGGAGCCAGGTCTGGCACTGGCGGTGTCCCACAGAGAGAGGACTTCTATCCCTCCCTGTTGGAGGGGAGGAGAGGAGGAGAGGGTGGTGGGGGAGATATGCATGAGAAGCAGATGCCGCTTACCAGGGAGGGTGCTGCGGGGCTCCCCTCCACTTCCTTCCCCTGGCAGGTTCCCATGCAGGTTTCCTCTGCCTTGCCATGCTTGCCCAGGAGTGAATGCTGCCATAGGAGTGCAGTCATGACCGTGTGCCATGTGCAGCACAGCTGTGTGTCCATGACCCCAACCTCCTTAGTGGTGAGTTGTGGTGGGAGGGTGTCCCACCACGGGGTCGGGAGTAAGGCTGGCCTCTCCAGAAACCCTGTGAGCTGGAGCGCAAGGTCCCTTTGGGACAGTCTCATGCAGCTGTCTGCTCCAGACTAGTGCTCCAAGTGCACACGCAGCTGTGCAATCCTCAGGCCGAGAAGGCCAAGCAAGGAGCCCGCAGCGCCTTGCCACCTGCGGCCATTCCCCCACCTGTGCCTAGGGAAAGTGATGGAACTCACCTGATGGGACTTCCCCAACTTCATCCAAACCCTGGACATCCTGGGAGATGGGTACTGGCTCCCGGGACAGAATGACCTCCTGGCTGGTGGGCATTGTATCCACACTGGCCTCGTCTTCCTTCTCCTCCTCCTCCATGGCCCGCCCTCTGGGCATCTTCAGGCCAGAATCCACAACAAGGTGGGGGAGGGAGTGATGCAGTGGCACAACTAG